ATATTTTCTTTACTATTATATTTTTTAGAAGTATTCGACTAATATCGCTATGAACGAATGTAGAGTCGTTCACAGAAGTCTACGTGCGTATACCCGACGAATGCGAAGCTTTATGAGCCAAATATTTCGAATTTACTAATCTTTCTGTGATATCCTAGTATTTTAAATAAACTTAGAAACAAAGATTTTTTTGTAATACTTTTTAATTATACGTCCAGATTAGTTTGGAAGTATGCATATTTCACGGTGTGTATAAAAGAATGATTTTTGTTAATTATTCTAAAAAATTCAAACAAGATTTTTCTAGGATAAGTTCAGACTTTGCAAAATATTGAAGATTGGCAAAATAGTCCTTGTTTAAGATACAGGTTTCACGTGTGAAGATGCAACGCTTTTATAATGTAATTGAAGAAATTACAAATAATTACAAATATTCTGCAACAACGTGTATCCTTACAAAGGAGGGTTACCAAACACAAATCGTGAATTTCGATGAAACTTACGTATAATGTAGCTTTCGAGAAAGTATTTAACACGTATTTTCTTTTACGTATCAACTTCCAAGTTTAGGGGGTGAAAATAGCCCTTCTTTCAGTGTCTCGAAAACTGTTGGACTTAGAAGTATGGTTCAAATATACGAAATGTGTGTTTTCTAACAAGAAACCTGTATTTAATGTACCATTTACAAAAATGGATATTTTTCAAAACCATTTACATAGGCAGTTTTCTTATTAGTAAATATACATTTCGTACATTGGAACCGTTTTTCTACGCCCAATAATTTTCGCGATACCGAAAAACAAATTATTCAACCCTAGCTTCTTCACCATGGGGGCTATTTTCACCCCCAAAATTTGCAAGTGGACAGAAAAAACGAGAATACGTAAGTTTCATAAAAATCGACCATGTATACTTGGTGAGCCGTCCTTTGTTTGTTGAGTTTGACTGCTTAAATGTACGAAATTAAATGGGTGTATTGTACGTGGACTTTTGTGGCCGAGTTTACGTATTTTGATGCACGAGATTTGGGACGAACTTGCGCGACTGGATAAAAAGTTTATAAAAAGAAATCGAACTTGTTCGCTACTCAAATTAATAATCTTTCCAAGAATCTCAATTTTGTTTTTTTTTTGTTCACGTAATTTCTTGTTTCCAGTTCACGTCGTTATTGGTCATCGTTTTTATTTTGGAACTATCAGGTGGTATATCTGGGTATGTTTTGCGTGCTAGAGCATCGTCGATCGTCCAGGGTAAAATGATAGATTCGATGAAGCTGTATGACAACAATACCGAGATACATACGATTTGGGATAAGCTTCAGCAAGATGTAAAGCCTTTAATCCTCTTAAAGCATTTTTTTTTTTCATAACATACTTTATATTGACTGTTCATTTAATTTCTATAAATTATTTCCACTTAAATACTAATTTTTCTACGAACATAATTCAATTAGCTACGTATCAATCGTTTTAATTGAAAATGAACAAATATTATAAATATTAATTGTTCTAGTTCCATTGTTGCGGAACAAATGATGCATCCGAATGGACTAAGTTGAATGCGAGTATTCCTCTCTCATGTTGTGACAGTATGTTACCACCAAAAAATTGTACTAGTGAATCCAAAACACTGCACTCCGAAGGTTGTTACAAGGAATTTCTTTCGTTCATCAAATCGCATGCCGTGCAACTTGGTGGTGTTGGTCTTGGCATTGCTTTCGTTCAGGTAGGCCACATATGTGTAATAGAAATGTAAAGAAATAGAGAGAGGAAAAAATTGAAACGGAAATTCTATTTTTGCTGTTATTGTTTCTTTTCCAGGCAATGGGAATTTGGTTCTCAGTTTATTTAGCACGATCGATTAGAAACAGTTACGAAACCGTGTAGAATTTGACAAGAATTCGAGAGAATTGTCATATACGTGACAAATTCTTTTAATTGGAAAACATCCACCAACCATCCAGAACCTCATTTAAAAAATGTTTATTATAAGTAACATATTTTGTGTCTCCCAGGTTTGCTATTAAGAAATACAGAATCTATAAGATATAATATTATATTACAGCGTATACATATATATATATATGTATAATGCATACTTCAATTTATAAAATAGAAGTCCTAAGATTACTATCGAAAGAAAAAAGAATAACCATTATGTATTCAGGAAGATACCTTTTAAGTGCAAATTTTTAAATTTATGATACTTGTCATATGTACACGTGGTAATGTTTAATAATACCATGTTCAAAATTACCATTACCTATTATTTCATTTTTCGGCAGGGATATTTTATTTGTATGTACCTAACCTAACCTTTTTATGTTTAAAAATACTTCAAAGTATCATAACTTACAAAAGAACAAAAAGATCATATGTGGATTTTTCATAAAATTGTTTAATTACCGATTAATATGTACTCCTTGTGTGGTATATTTGAAATCAAGGAATACATAGTCCCACGTCGCAGTCGGAACAGTACAAGTACCGAATATCGGTTTTGGCGTGCCCGTACGACGGACAGGCTCAACAGCGAAAGAGTTAATGCAATGGAAAGAGAATTTTTTTCGATTTGTTAATGACATTTTGTGTTAAACTATAATACCCCTTTTATTTCCTAAAATTGGTCATTTTTCTTATGCAAATTATGCAGTTAACATACAATATGCTCCTGAACAGTATGCAACCTTGGCATTCAATAGATTCTTTTTCTTAAGTGATTATTGTACAAAATTCATTTTGCATGGCCAGTAATTAATCCATGCAAAAATGATTTGAAATCATGATGGATGAGGAAAGAGTAACAGACAGCCACGCGGTTAGCCAAGTTGGCCTCATTCAGGCTATGCGATATATATCCTATTTTTATATAAGCTTCTGGATATGGTCTTAAACAGTTGAATATGCAATGCCTTTTTACAATATTAACTGATGCTAAAGAGGAACATTCTTGCGATACAGATTGCAAAATGCCGTTATTAAATTCCGAGGACATTCCAAATCGAGGTTCATTTGCAAGGATTCTATACACCTATACGCTGTTCTAGCATTTCTAATACTGTTTCCAAAAATGATACACAAATTTTCTGTCACGGCCGTTGTATTACTTCCTCTCTGGAACTCGTAAAGAATACAATGCCACAAATGCGTCATACTCTGAGATGTTTATTATCAAGTTTTTAACGATAAATCAACTAATAACTACTAAGGATTTCTCTTATATTTTATTTTACAGGGCGAGGGCAATAAATGTCGAGAGCAATGGAGAGTTTGAAATAATGATTTGAAATAATTTTAAACACCATGAAAATATGAATTGAAAAAGCGATACAATTTATTGCAGTTTTTTCTACTCATTAATACATATTTGCGTTTCCAGTATGTCTTCAATAACTTATCCACAAATTCAATGCAGTTCAGAGAAAATAGTTGTTTTTTCACTTAAAAGAATGATATAGAGGAAAAAGATGTTCAGAAGAATGGTGACAAAAAATGAGTTAGGTATGTGATAAAAAGATGTATGTATTCATTTGGTCACAATTTAGATAAGAGCAGAGAAACTAACAGATGACATTTTGAACATAAAATGTACTGATTTTGCAGACCAAAAGAGATGTCACCTATTAAATGTATTAAATTTAATCGACGCTCGCTAACTGATAAATAAAAAGAAAAAGTATAAAGTTGTATATAAAAACATTAAAGGTAATTTCAAAGACTTTAAAAAAAAAAAAGGAAATAAATGTACAGTTTTACTTTATCATTTTGGAAGCTCTTTTGATTTGCGTCATCGACGGAAATCGTTTACGATCAAACCAGTAACAACGAAAGCATAGGAGGCCACGTTATGCACTTCGGCCTGTATATATTTATAATCACATTCTTATAATCTTTTTTTCTCCAATAATCAAACCTTATATTATTCAAAATGCCAGAATAACATTTCGATACTTCGTAAATCATTGTCAATATTGTCTTACTTTTAAAAATTATTTCTCAAAAATTATTTTCACTCTGTGTACCGAGTAAATAAAGCGTTATACTATTTTGAATAAAAAAGTTAAAATTAATATTAAAATTAAATCATTACCTGCGACGTTACATTTGTCTCATTAAAAGGTACAAATATTATTGCTCGGTTCATTTTAATATTATATAACACTAGCGTTGCAGTGCATACATTCAAACAACTGTATTCAAACCAACGTGATGATAATCGTTTCAAATAAGAATGTTTTAAATTTCACAGTAACAAGCATTAGGCACGTAAGTACGTTTTAACTCGTGACATTTTAATTCATTCTTTGTTTTGGTTGTGATTTGCTCCTTTTTTTCGTTTATTTGAATTTATATCATTTTCTGACTGACAAGTCGATTACTTCTCTGCGATGATCGTTATGTTATTATCGATCACCATTTAAATACCAAATTTTATAAATCATTTCGGGTGAAAGATGGTGAGAACGACAATCGAATTGTGTGCGGATTGAACGAAAGCAACTCGTATTCACTTTCAAATGCTACATTGAATCGCGTGTGGTTTTAGCCGGGAAAGCATTCTTGGTTTGAAATAAAGTTTACCAGGGCTTGTAATACTTTTCCACGTATGAATAATGAACGTGTTCTGAATTACCCACATGATGATACGCGTGAGTCATGTTCCGTATTTTCACGCATGGGCGTAGCGGCCGGTCGATGTGCCAGTGCCGACTATCTTCAGGTTGCTTATGCTAAAAAGCGGGTAAATAGATTACTGCCAGACGTGATTTTTACCATTGAGTTCCGGATAATTTATCAAATCGAACAAACCTTAATCGAATAAATATTACATATTTCCTCTGCTGTAAATTATTAATAAATGTATTGTTTATCATACACAGCTAACCTTATATAATATCACAATGATTTGGAATTGGAAAACGAAGAACTTTATCCAACAAAATTGTAAATTTTACGATTGTTTCTTTTTTGGTACTTAAAACTTGTGTTTAATATTGTGCTGATACATTTCTATTTCTTTAATTTTCAACTAAACGTCTTATTCGTACAATGGTTCTATCGATATTCTAAATCTATCCAGAGAAAACTTTATTAGTCTTCGAAAGGAGAATTTTCATTTTAATCAGTGTCTATATCTATAATCTTTCAATCCTGTTTTAATATAAATATATATATAGTGTCTTTATGTAATTTGTATGCATTAAGGTAGTTAATCAGTTAAACGAAACACCGCAAGTCACTACGTAAAAGTAATAACTGTACTATAACTGTTGTTTGCAGATTGATAGTAAATAATTATAGTAATTTGAATCGATAATATTAGACCTTTGTTTTACGTTATTGAACCCACCCGTTATACACGTCGCGGAGTGTAAGTCCGCAAGTTCATTTTATTCTCACAAACTAGAAAAGCAGTATCTAGCTTTATGATCTTCCGTAGCTTCGATATATGCGTAAAAACATATTAAATGATCAAGTAGTAGAATAAATTTTTTATTAAAATGTAGAAGGAAAGTTAAACAAAGAATAAAATAAATAGGGAAGCAAACAGTTAAACTTTGCGGATTGTAAGTCCGTAAGCGTGTTACGCTACAATTCGTAAGTATATACCGGGTGGCCCAATTTTTTCGGATCGAACTTTGTCGGTATGTTCTATGGATGTAAGTAAGAAAAAAATGTTCTATAAACATAGGTCGTTTGAAGCTTTGTTAAAAAGTTAACAGAGAAATACGAAGGGAATTGTAACGAACTTGCGGTTACTATGATGCAAGACATCATAGTACATAGGCACTGCCAAAAGTTACATTCCACACTTTTAACGACCTCAGATCGTAAACACAGCTCGCATAAACAGACTAGGTCTACACATCGCTGTTCCATTCCTATTTTGTATCATAACCTCACATTCCATTCCAGTTATAACTTGTTAAAAAAGCATCAAACTCCTACCTATGTTTGTGTCAAATTTTTTTATTTTTCATGCCCATGGAACGTATTGACGAAGTTTGGTCGGAAAAAGCTGGGACACTCTGTATATAAATACGCGTAAAATGGAAAGTTATTAGAATTGTAATAAATTGCTTACTAATCAACGAAAGCAAATAGTAGCAAATATGACATTTAATCCATTGTGAATGCACTGTTGAATATTAATACTATGAAATTTGTAAATACTGTGCTATAATTAACATTACTAGCAATATTTTTGTTCAAAAGAGAATTTATTTTCAAATAAATTATCTGTTTTTAA